TATTTTGCATAATGAAAAGTAAACGAGATGAAGAAAGGCGCCCATCCATGATGAATCTTCATCATCAATGGTCCCAATGATGAATTTTTTTTTGGGAAACAAAATGAAATGGAAAAAAAAAGTAAATGAATATGATTTGTATATGTGTGTAATTTTTTTTTCTCTCATTCCACTAATTCATTACTCTCTACAACAACAACAACAACAACAACAACAACGAAAAAAATGAATTCTTGAATGGACCAATTTCGTGTTGTTGTTCACAGAATCAATTCGTCCATCATTATAATCATGACTTGAATAAAATTTGCTTCAGGCTATATAATGAGAACCAAAAAGAGTTTGAATGTATTCCAGAATTTTGCTCTATTTCGATGGATTTTTTTTTCATTTATTTTCTTTCTAAATAATTTAAACAAAGATGCAAAAAAAAAAAATGATTGTCACCACCACCCACTCACAAATACACAATCCGTTTACTTCGAAAAATCTCTTGTTCTATCATTATCAATGAATGATATGTGAACACACACACACACACAAATGACATGACATGACATGACATTTTCATTTTTTTTCTCTCTTTCTCTCTCTCTATCTTTGTTTGTTTGTTTCAACATTGATATGTAATGTACACATTTGGTTCGATTTGATTTGGATTTCAGGAAAAAAAAGAGAATAAAACGATTCAATGTTTCAATGGCAATTTTTTGATTTGTAACATTTTCGATGAAAAATGGAAAATAGACAGAGTGAGAGAGAGAGAGAAATTGTCATCATTGAAACTAAACTGTGTGTGTGTGTCTGTCGAATGATGACAACGTTTTCGTTCATTCGATAATAGCCTCGTGTGTGTGTTTCGAGATTCAATTCATTAACAGCCTACCAATTTTTTTTTTTTTTGATTTCCATGTTTCTCTAATTTATATAACAAAACAAATAGCTTGTTCCAAAAAAAAAAAAAATTCCAAAATTAAAAAGAAAAAAAAATCTGTCGACCTTGGCTGGGGCTGTGTGTCACAGATTTTTTTTTCTGTTCATTGATTAAGGCCATAGGGCTTAATTGTGGTTTGAAATAAAATTTTTTTTTTTTGTTGGTGTGAGGGTGGGGAATCTATTCTATCCAATAACCCTATGACAGTGGTGGTGGTGGTGGTTGTCGTTGGTGGTGGTAGTAGCTGTGAAGTAGTTTTTTTTTGTCCAACTATATTATTTAGTGAAAAAAAAATTGATGATGATGAAATTGCCATAAAGTACCCCATTGAAAATCTAGAATCCGGCTTTTTTTTCTTCCATACACACACACACACACTCACATACCCTTCTATTTTATCCCATCTCATCATGGTGATGATGATGACGATAATTACAACTAGTGAAAAAAAATAGCACGCGTTTGGTGAAAAAAAAAGAGAAAATGATTCGGGTAACGAATCGATTCTAGAGTGAGAGAATAAGAGAGAGAGAGAGAGAAAGAGTGGTAACCCTTGGACCATGGGGATGTTGATGATGAGTATTAATATGCACATTCACCAAATGAACGGGTATGGAAAGTAAAAAAATGATGATGATGATGATGATGTAAAGTGTCGAGAGTATGCACAAGTGAGAGAGAAAGAGAAAGATTCAAAAAAAAAAATTATCGACGATCCCGAAATAAATAAAAAGCATCAACAGCAGCAGCAGTAGTAGCACGTTATTATATCCAGAAAAAAACGGATGAATGAATAACCGAAACAAAAAAACATACACACACATGAATCCGAATGATGATGGGCTATGTTCATTCTTTTTTTTTTGCTATTCTCCCAGATGTTTGTTGTTTCACTATGTGGTGTATAGTTCCACCATCACCACCACCACCACCATTTGAAGATTCATTTCAAAAAAAAAATTTGTGAATGAGTTATGTGTGTGTGTATGTGCGCTGCCGCATCCAATATACATCATTATCGAACATACACACTTGGTGGTGGTGGTAGTGTTACTGGAACAATGATAATATTGAATCTGAGAGAATAAGAATTTGACAGTAGACAAAAAAAAAATTTTTTTATATTTTTTTTCATTTCCCGTGTGTTCCAAAATCAGTTAAATTCAAGCATTCGTTGCATTCACATCACACACACATACAAACACACACACACATATCGCACACACATTCAATGTTTAGTTTATCATTTTGTTCATTCTGTTTTTTTTTTTTTTTTTGCTAATGATTCTGCTGTATTTTGGCGCCCAAAAAATTTGGGCGTCAATTTTTTTTTTGCTCTAAAAATGATTAATTAATTAATTAATTATAAAAGAAAAAAATAATTTCAAAGTTCCTGGCACTTGTATTCCTAATTATCATCATCATCATCATCATCGTCATCGTCATCGTCAACAAGACAGAATTACTACAACGACATGTTCCTAATCTAATTGTATCGTCATCAATCGATCAACTCAATTCAATTGCTAGTTCCTTTCAAGTGTTCACCGAACACACACACCTAATACAACACACAAGTTCCTGTCTATTCGTCTAGAAGAATATTGAAAATTTGAATCCATTTCAAAGTTCCTAGAAAATTTTTGAAATCCTAATTGATGATGTGTTTTTTTTCTCTCTCTCTCTCTCAAAAAACGTATTTCAAACCAGGTTCCTTTTTCAATAGAAAAACAAATGGAGAAATGTTCCTGAAATCTTTATTTCACCACCATCACCAGCATCACCATCTAATCAACTGAATTTTTCGTCAGGTAAGTTTTTTTCAATTTTTTTAAACCCTTGTGAAACACAAAAAGGCCAGTAGTTTAAAGGTCACTCATCATCATCATGGTGATGATGATGAAAAACGTTTAATGTTGAAAATGTTTCTTTGGAACACAAATGTCATGTGTCAGTCAAATCATTCAGCCAGTCAATTCAATCGTTTATTCATTCATTCATTCATTCAGACAAATTATCCATTTGTGAATATGCATGATGGTTGATGGTAATGGCAATGAATATATCTGCCAATCATCATCATCATCTATTAATCGTTTTTTTTGTTTGTTTGAAATATGAAATATTTATTTAAATTATTATTGAGCAGATGTCTCACTCACTAGAACATTCAACTTTAACCAGAAAAAAAAGAGGAAAAAAAATCCCGTCATAAAATCCAATTGATCATCATCTGTTTGATCAATTGGATATTTGTTTGTTGCAGATCAATCAAATTGTCGATCAATAGACATCCAACCGGTGTGCCGGTTGAACCGCCAAAATTTTTCAATCAATCAGTGTTTTTTATTTTCTTGAATCGATTTTTGTTTTGTTTTGTTTGTTTCATTGAACATTCAACTTTAACCAGAAAAAAGAGGAAAAAAATCCCGTCATAAAATCCAATTGATCTGTATTCAAAATTTTTGTTTTGTTTTGTTTGTTTCATTGATTCTGTATTCAAAAGAGATGTGTGTGTGTGTGTGTGTTCATGCGCAATTTATGCATTCTAGCAGCAAATATCTGTGTGGAGTATCAAGACTGTGTGTGTGTGTGTATGAAGAAGGTGTGAAGCAATTAGTGTCAGAATGACAGTGTACACACAATATACATTGTGAGATTGTATTAAAAAAAAAAAAAAATACAAAAATCCCTGTAGATTTTATTATTTAACATCATGTAATGCTGCTATCAATTTTTTTTTTGTTTTGTTTTGTTTCATTTTACCATATGACCGCCCCGTTCTTTGATGTTCATGTCATTACAAACAAACAAAATTTTTTATTTTGAGAAGAAAAAAAAAAAAAAAAAAAAAATCCCTTTATAGTCACAATTGATAACGTATATATTATGTGATGAACATAAATGGATGAATGTATAACAAATGTAAAATATATTATATTACATTATGGCCATTACATTTTTTTAATTGTCCATATTATGACCATCACTGCATACAGCATAGAAACCGGAACATTAAATTTTTTTGTTGTTGTTGTTGTTGTTATTTGATAACAGAAGAAAAAATAACAAATTGATAGAACAAAAGAGAATTAAAGAGAGAGAGAGAGAGAGAGAGAAAATGAATGAAAAAATGATTAAGATAGAAGACAACACAGACAGAAGAAAAAAAAAGCGAAGGAGGAGAAAGAGATAGATAGATAGATGGAAATTATAAACAGTGAATGGAAACATAAACGTTGTGTATATGTAACGTAATACATACATACATGACCTAAGAAGAAGAAAAAAAAATGTTGGTAAAGCATTTTGGTCATCATCACATCAGTCATTCATTCAGTCAGTTACAGACAACATAACTTGGCGCGAACCACTCTCATACACCCGCACACGCACACGCACACACACATACAGACACAGACACAGACATACACGATTCTTTTTTTTCTGTGTTTATTTTCTACATTATTATTATTTCATATCATATATATATCGATTATATGATTCTGTGATCAAATCGATTGAATCAAAAAAAAAAAATATTGATTCTTAAAAGTGTTTTTTTTTTGTGTCGTCAAATGCCTTATCAACAAGTATTTTGATTTTGTTTTGTTTATTTTTGGTTTTCCATTTTTTTTTTTTTTTGCCGGTTGATAATTTTCATCATTCTTTTTTTTTTTTTTTTTGTTCAATTTTAGCCCATTACAATTGGCCATTCAATTATAATCCATTCATCAAAGTTCCTGTATGTAAATTTTAAAATCCACATCCATACACACACACATACCGTCATTGATTCCAACCATTTTGTTTGTTTTGTTTGTTGTTGATTTCATCCTTATCAGATCGATCAATCAACCAACTGATCAACGCGTAACAACATCATTGTTTTTTTGTGTTACATTTTTTTTTTATTATTAAGAAACTACCGGATTTCGGTCGATTTTGTGTGTATATGTGAAAATTTTCCAAGTTCCTATGAAATTGGTGGTGTTGTCATTCTTGAATGAAAAAAAATTTCCAATTCATGTGAATAGATTCATCAAACATCACCACAAGTGTTTTTCAGCTTTTTCAGTGTGTGTGTGTGTCGTGGACACCATATTTTTGGTGTCCAAGAAAAATAATTACTGCTGTTGTTGTTTCTTCTTCTTAAGATGCAAATTCATCAAATGTTTCTCTGTGTCTATCTGTGTAATATTTGTTTTATTAATTGATTTTTGTCATCATCATCATCATCTTCAAAGTAAAAACAACATCACCATCAACAGTCATCGATAGCCAACAAAATAAACTGGTAAGTTCAATTGATTTGAATTTTCATTTTATTTGATTCGGATATCTAGTTTTTTTCCTGTTTTTCTCATAATAATTTTCTTTATTTGTTTAAAATGAATTGAATCAATGATTGTGACGAATGAATTGACGTATAAAAGTTTTTTATTGTTGTTGTTGTTGAAAAGATGAAATCGGGTTTTTTTCCCGATAAACAAAACAAATAGAAAAGAAAAGATTCTTGTTTCACACACACAGTACCTATCAAATTTTTTTTTCTTCTTTAGCCACCCCAATATATTCAATTAATTCAATCAATTTGAAATTTTCGTTTGTTTTGTTTGATTCTCGTTGTTTGCCACTCTTCAAAATGATGATGATGACGACGATAAAGATAGAACATTTCACATTATTTATATTTGGCCAAAAAGTGAAAAAAAAATTGATAATGATTATTGTGTATGTATGTATGTGATGCGCTTGAATAATTTTTTTGATCTGATTTTTTTTTTCACACACACACACACACACGATATATTGCCAAAATTGTCATTTTTTGGTTGGATTTTTGATTCTGTATTTGTTTTTTTTTTTTTGTTTTTCTTTCTCTCATCATTGACAATCGATATACCTGTGTGTGTGTGTGTGTGTTTGTAAATTTGATTATTCTAATTTGTATTCCATTTTGTTTTTTTTTGTTGTTGTCCATCAACATTTGGATTTGAATTGAATTTTTTTTTTTTGGTGTCGAAATTAAAGTTTTTCATTCATTCATTCATTCATTGATTATTATTTGTTTTGGATGTTGATCAAAAAAGGAGTGGTAAAATGAAAACATATTGATGCAATCAATTGATTTGATTTTATACGTATGTCATTTGTATTGAATTCCGGTTTGTTTTATTTTCATTGTTCCAGTTAGTCAGTCATTCATTCATCAAATGATAAAATCAGAATCGAAACAAAAATCTTCATTATCATTACCATTTGATTAGACATACACACACACACACACACAGAATTTTGTGATTCTTTTCATCCATTCCATTTTGTTTATTTGTTTATTGACAGCCAACCATAATGATAACGAAAAATAAAGGGTTCAAGTTTCATTATAGGATTATGGCTGCTTTTGCTGCTGATTTCGGTTATTCTATTTCCCTTGGCCTTCTTTTTCCTTTTTAAAAAAAAAAAAAAATATACAACCGTTGTATATTTTGGTTAGTTACCAATGGTGATGATAGGGTAAATTAGTTTTGAATTTTGTCTGTCTGTGTGTGTGTGTGTGTATGGTTGTTGCAATTTAGATAAAGGCAAAATGTATCGTCAACTATTAAATTGATGTGACTACTATATATAGCTATAATTAATGCATGTCGCATGTGCATTATTAGCCTTGCCTCCAAAAAAAAATAGCAAAAAAATGGGTGTCGATCCATCGTTTATTTGGTTTTTTTTATAATTTGTTTGTTTTTGTTTTATTATTCAGGTTGCAGAATTTTTTTTTTTTTTTTTTTTTTTTTTATTATCATGCCGAATAATGAGAAACACGAAAAATAGTCATTTTTCGTGTTTTTATGACATTTATTTTAATAATTAATCCGATACCGGGAAACCTTAGAAAAAAAAACTTGGACAAAGTTCGTCAGTTTTAGCCAATTGTCACATTATCATTAGTTGATTATTTGATTTTGACAATTCTTATCTTGCTGCTGCTGCTGCTGCTGGTACTGTTGTTGACAACATTTGATTCTCTAGGTTTTTTTGTTGTTTCAACATAGTTGCAGCATTCCCATCAACATCAACAACCACAACAACAACAATAGCCCAATTTTATATTTACCCGAAAAAAAATCTGCGTTTTTTGTGTATGTATGTATGTATGTATGGCATATTTACTTTGTTTGATATTCATTTGGTTAGTTAGTCATTTTTTTTGCTTTATTTAACCATCAATATCATCATCATCAACATCAACAACAACAACAACAACAACAACAACAACAGCAGCAGCAACAACAACAACCGATATATGCAACTTTTATTTTTTTTTTCAATATATAAAAATTGCCACTATCTATCTCTATTTTCATATCATTCATTTCATTTCTTTCATTCTGTTCCAAACATACACAAATATACACTGGTGGATATATTTTAATTAATATAACACACACACACACACACACACATAAATATCGTTGGATATCGTATAAATTTTTTTTCTGGATGACATATTCTCAGTATTATTCTGGTTTTTTTTCATATTGGGTAAAATGTGTTGATTTTTAATCATTGATTCAATCATCATCATCATCATCATAATAATTACGTGTATGTGTGTGTGTGTGTGTTATCATTACACAAACAATATTTTTGTGTATTTTTCTGGTTGTCAATGGTGACTGATATGTATTTGGGCGGCTTGGCTTGATGGCCTAGGATAAGGGTATCGATATAAGACTGATTTATATATGTAAATGATGTATGTATGTAAGTACAACATAACCGTGTGAACGGAGAATAATGTTTTGTTGGATATACCAACAATTCACACAAAGATTGATTTTGTTAAACACAGCAAAAAAAAAAATCTTATTTTTTTTTCTTGTCATCGATGACCTTATTCATTTGGATTTTCTGTATTTTTTTTTTTTTTTTGTTTACACAAAAGAAAATTTTTTTTTTTCTGTTTTCTTTGGTGCAATTAACTCCATATTATACAACTTGCAAGAGGTTAATTTTCGTTGCAAATTCTCTCTCTCTCTCTCTCTCTCTTGTGTGATAATTAATAAATCTGATGATGATCATGATGATGACAGGTAAAAATGATAATAATAATAAAAAGGATGAGTCGTTTGTTTGTCAAACTCAATCTTTTTCTACGTGTGTGTGTGTGTTATGTTTTCACAAGCTCAAGGCCAATATATATGTGTGATTTAACTGATTTTTATTTGAAAAAAAAAAAAAATTTCCATAAGTTATCCATTGAAACACGTTTTTACACACAAAAAAAACAATATTTTAATAACAACGAATATATTATGAGAGCGAAAAAATGACAATTAAAATGACTTTTCACCGCAAAATTATTACCACAATGATGATTGGTTTTTTTTTGAAAAAAAAGAGTAGGGTCTACACACATATTTGGTGGTTGGATTTTTTTTTTCGTGGCCATCATTATGGACATCTGTTGTGGTTCAATTTTGCCATTTTTAAAAAATTTGTAAAATTTATTCCCAAAAAAAATTTTGTTTTCATCATAGTAGTGGCGGATTCTTTTTTTTTTTACTCTCGTCGGCATTTCTATCTGTTTCGCTTTCATTTGAGATGTTGTGTTTGGTCAAAATCATCATCATCATCATAATTCCAATCATTGGATTCAGGTTGAAATTGAAATGAAATTAACAGATACAATACTTTCAATTCTTTGGAAAAATTAGCATCTATTTTTTTTCAAAGAAAAAATTTTAAACGTTTAAACAATCAAATTCAAAGGAATTTTGAGTCTTTTATAAAAACTCATCACCATTAACATTCATGTAATGTTGTTGCTTGTCGTCGTCGTCGTCGTCGTTTTTTTTCTTTAGAAAACACAAACATTGAATTAATAGTTTCGTAGTTTTTTTTAATGACATTTTTATTATTATGATGATGATTTTGTTTCATGTGTCAGTACAATTCAAATACTTTGTCGGTATTTAGATTTTTGTGTTGGTTAAAGAATTTTTTTTCCTCTTCTTCTTCTTCTTCTTCTTCACTTTTAAACATTTTTTAATGATGAGATGAAAAAGAAAAAAAAAAATTGTGACAAAGTTTTAAATATGTGTGCGGCACATTGCGGTGATTTCATTCATTTGTACACCTTTTTTATGGAGATTGTCGTTTAACGAGATTTTTTTTTTTTTTTGTTCGTGATTGACATCGTATCGACACCTGTGATTGATGCGGTGATCGTTTGGTTTTAATTTGTTATTTTTTGCCACCGCTGATTCATAGAGTACGTTCAACTCCGATATATATACAAAAGGGTTATGCGATTAGATGAAGAGAGAATTTTTCCACAACTTTATAACAACAACAATAATTCACTTGTGATTCTAGTGGTTCAGGTTCAAATTTTAGGCCATGATGATGATGATGATGAGAGTATAATTTCTTGATTTTTTTTCTGAAATCTTGAAATTTGAAAACTCAACAATACTGTGTGATGTGAGTAGTTTATATTCAACAATTAATTCAGTTTTTCGTTTATTGTTTGATGTTGATTTGCATTTTGAATTTTTGATGTGAATGATTAGTGTGTGTGTGTGTGTGATGACCTAGGTCACACATTGATTGCATTTTTTTTACATACACACACACACACACACACACCCGCATCTCATATCATCCATATATATTCGATGCCAATTCTTTTCTATTGTGTATACATACATCACACTTGTATGTCTGCTGTTGTTTTTTTTAAATTTTGTATGAATCATTTCATTTAAGATTTTCAAGAAGAATTGGTTTTGATCACTTTTTTTTAATGAACCACTCAGAAAAAAAATCAATCCAATCAAGTGGTGGTGGTGGTGGTGGTTTGCTTCGTCATCATCATCATCATCATCATCAACGTTCAATAGATCGATCGATCGAATGATTTACATATCCAGATTATTATTATTCACAGAAATTTTTTTTTTTCGTTTTCGTTTTTGAATATTCACATCATTTTTTTTTTGTTTAATCTAGTCAGGTATGTATAGGTAAAAGTAGTTAGTGGTTAGTAGTAGTGGTATTTTATGTTTGAAAAATGAAAAAAAACAGCAACAACAACAACAACAACAACAACAGGCAAGGTTCGAAGAACTGAAATTCAAGCATAAAAACTTGAAGCCAAAAAAAAAATGGATATAAATAAATAAATAACACCCTGTAGCCGATCATAAATATGCAGATATTCTTTTTTCAAAGATGTGCTGTGTGTGTATTTGTACGTTTTGTTTTTTCTTAAAAAATGAACGCACACAC